CAGGGGTAAATTATAGCATTCTCAGGGGCTTTACTTAAAATCCAAGACCATATGGATAAGATATAAATGTAGAACACACTGATGCCTGTGAACACTTAAAATATGCAGCGCTGAAATCAAACTGCGTGTAAGACTAGGAAAAAACCCACTTTATGGATTCAAGTTCTTTTAGGATAACTCATCGGATATTTCTCAATATCTGGCACTTAAAGGTGACTTACGCCTCACTAAGACTTCAAAGCCTGAGGGGTAGTCGTATTAACCCAGATCAGGCTGCTTGGGTTTGAGTCGGAGACTATGCCTTTAAGGCTGTAATTTAACAGCAGCTTCCCTTCATGTGGTTAACGCTTCACTAAAGAGCGGTCACTGTTATCAATTAAAAAATCTGAGTCATTAAGGAGTCAAGAAGCTGCATTCATGCTTCGAACGTTTTGTGACTTTTAGGGAAATGGCCCAATCCATCTTCCGGAAAAAAGGGGACAGTGTAGGAGCGGTTATCAGATAAGGCAGTGCGGCCTCTTCATGCTCACCCACCATTCCATAGAAAAATTCTACAACCAAGACTTCCTGGAATTTAGGGGTCTTGAGGAACAAGCTCTTTGAATCAGCTGACCAAGTCTGAAGAAGACCTGAAAGGTTTGTCTCTGATATGAATTTGAAGGGAATTTTATTGGCAAAGGAAATAGTGCAACAACAACAAAAGTGATGTTAGTACAGATTATTACAAATGAAATCAGTTATCAGTAGTGGAAAAAAATAAAATTAAATAAAGTAAACCAAGATAATCTGTATCTTTATTATTATTTTTATTTTATATATAATTGATAGCTAGATATGAGCATTTTTATTATTTTGTATTGTTATTTTTAAATGTATAATTATTTTCTATTTTCCGTCTCTAAATCTCAGACCAAAATAATTATTTCAAAATTATGAAAATAAGAAAAACTTTGACAGTTTGAGCCGTGAATAATACATTGCTGCTTATTTAGTAATTTAAGCATTTGTTTATGGAATGCAAATCATGGCCTCAGTTTTCCTTGTTGTTTTACTCTTGGCAAAAGATAAAACACTTCTTTTGCGTATTCACTTATCTAGAAAGCCATGACTTCTATCAGAATTTTATGGGTAATTGATTTACAGAAATAAAACAAGAAACAACTCACACCTGTTTTTCATCATATGTCGAAAAATACATTCGGGAAACAGCATGATTTGGGAAAAAGGTTTTCAAAGGGTTTAAACTCCTAGAAACATTTTTTCTGATGAAATGGAAATTGTTTTGTTTTTCCAATTATGATTCCATTTAACAAGACGCATATGTATAGACCTTTTTCATATATAGGCTACGTACTGTATGATTGGCAGCACTGAGGTGGGTCTGAATTGCAGGTTTCATTTGTCATCTTGGGTTGTGCTTGAATACGCTCACAGAGAAGAACCACACAGAATATGTTAGGAATAAAAAGTTTTACTTTGGATGGTTTGGCTTAGTAGTTAAATATTTGGGAGGGAAACCCAAATGTTGCAGGTTCAGCTCTAAACGGGCTCAATCACAAGCTATAGCTTTGAGTCCCTAAATAAGGTTCTTAATCCCAGGTTATTATTTTTTTAATTATATTTTATTATATTATGTTTTAGATTATTTTTTTTAGCATCATTAAATGTTAAGTTTAGGCTTTGGATTCGCTGCAGTGGGAAACAATATAGTGGTTGGCCGCTGAAACGATAAATTTAAAGGGGTCATATGACGTTGCTAAAACGAACATTATTTGGTGTATTTGGTGTAATGAAATGTGTTTATGCAGTTTAAGGTTAAAAAACACATTATTTTCCACATAATGTACATTATTGTTTCTACTCTATGGCCCGCCTTCCTGAAACGTGTCGATTTTTACAAAGCCCATCGTTCTGAAAAGCGAGGTGTGCTCTGATTGGCCAGCTATCTAGTGCGTTGTGATTGGCTGAATACCTCAAGCGTGTGACGGAAATGTTATGCCCCTTACCATATTGTGATGCCCTGTCCCGGCGTGACGAGACAAAAGCAGTAAAACCCATTATAAACGAGGCATTTGTTGCATCCAGTGGGGACATGATTACTGATTATAATGACTTATACTGTCTTTTTACGCGTTGCGTATCATGCTGTGTAAACATAAATGTCTGCATTTGTGATTGGAGAAACGACAAACAACAAGCGCTACTCTACTAGACGTGGGGGCGTGTTAGAACGAGCCGTTTTAGGTAGGCGTGGCTGACTCTTACATTTTATAAAGAATATCTCTTGCAACTTTACAGATCTTCTTTATGCACCAAGAGCTTGTAACACTCCACAGAAAAAGGAAAAATTTAAATCGCATCATATGACCCCTTTAAAAACACGCAGAAGACTCGGCCAACCCGTTGCATCAGCATTTGAATGAATGAACATGCAAATGGTAATGGCTACTGTGCATGACCTAAATATTATTATTAATTATTCATAATGTGCTCCACCCCTCAATTTTTCAGATTGGGGCATACTGAACAGCATACTGCTAAATACTACCAAAATACACACCAAAGTGTACACTCTTAAAAATAAAGGTTCCTTATTGGCATCTGTGGTTCCATAAAGAACCTTTAACATCCATGGAATCTTTCCATTGCTCAAAAGGTTCCTTATAGTAGAAATGTAGGTGGGAGAGAGCGCTGTACATTCACTCCCCCCACCTACAATCCCTGCCGGTATGAGACTCGAACCCACAACCTTTGGGTTACAAGTCCGACTCTCTAACCATTAGGCCACGACTTCCCACCCGTTTATTATTATCATTAAGGAAGTACCGGTAAGCAAGGAAAAAATGGTTCTTTTAAGAACTGCTCACTGAAAGGTTCTTTGGGAAAACAAAATTGGTTCTTCTATGACATCACATTCCCTTTTGGAACCTTTATTTTTCAACATGCAACTGTTGGTCAAGTTGTTGTCCAGTGACCTCATGTTCTGTTTACATAGTGTGCACAGTGTACGTACTATACTGCAGAAATAGTAGCAGTAGTATATTAATTTGAACATAGCTGTTGTTTGTGCCCATTTTGGACACTGCAAAGAACACCAACAAATTGAAAATTTCAATGGAGTCTTTGTTTAAGTCTGTTAAGTTTCTTAGTACCATGCAAATGTTGACCTACAGTGTGTTTGCATTAAGCAAAATGAGGAATAAAATAAGCAGACGTGACCGCAGTTTTGACACAGAGGACATAGTAGATTCTGACATATGATCAGAGTGATGAGATAAGACACGCTTCATTGACAGAACAGATTCCTCTAATATACCTTTTGAGGCATTATTTCTACTGGAATCAGTCCAGTCGGGACTCATATTGATATGGGATATAACCAAGCCGAAGCTGCCACCTGTATGTGGTGCCTGACATTTGAAATGGCTTAGGAACGTTTGGGCCACCAAATTTGAATGATATTGAATGAAAACAACAGCAGCTGATCTCTGCTGTAAATTTGTCTCTGTTTGTTCCACTCGAGATGGCTCGAGACGATAAAGCCTTTGGACTGTAATGCTGTCTGTGCGCACAAAGCATTACATCGTAGCGATCAAAGCTCAGTTCTCGTATTAACACTGCGGCGATGACAGAATTTCAGAACGCCACCCAGAGTTCTCCATTAACCTCATTGGAAGGTTTATTTATTTTTCCACTGCTTATTCACCATTGAACCTGTTCCTCACTTTAAAGTCCCATATTTTCCACTCAGGCTACATTTTTAGCAGCGAGGTTTTGTTTTCAGCACTATATAGTTTAGCAGCCAAAAACACCATCCCTATGATTTCATCATCATAAAGCATGACTGCCATACAACATTACTATATTACCGTTCACTTCCATGATTCTTCTCCCCATGTGATTTATTATTGTGGCCGTCTCATTTAATTTATACCTCCAAGATCAGCTGATTCATGAGTAAAAGTTCAAGCACGTCAGTTGTTTGAAATCAACATCTTGAATCCTGTTTTTATCCAAAACTTTGAGAAATGGGTTTCTCCTGTTTAGCAGACAATTGTTCTCAAAAAACCCTGGCTTTAAACAACAGCTGAGAAACTCACAGATTCCATCTGGTCACTGGCAACGAATTTAAGCGTGGACTCATACTGACATTATGTAATTATATTTGCGGTTTATCGTTATTATTGTTTGCTAAACCATAATTTGTTTTGTATTAAAACCATAGAAATAAAAAAGTATGATTTAAAAAAAAAAAAAAAAATCTTACTTTTTGACTATTCCCTTTTTTCTTTTTTATGATATTCTGTTTTTAATCTATGCAAACTACTCAAGTGCTCTCTCAGTCTATCTCAAGGCATAATCAGACTATTCTCATATAAGATGATTTTCTTATTATAGCCTACTTAAAAATTAACTGAAACGTGCTTATCAGATTTGACACAAATTACACTTGGAATCTGATCAAGCTTTTAGCACAGGATTGACAGAAAGATGGCAGGTATTGTGAGTCAGTGTAAATCAAACTAACCAGTCTCTGCTTAGTGTTCCCAAAATCAATTAATAATTAGAACTATACTTTTAAAGCTTTTCTTTAGATAGATAGATAGATAGATAGATAGATATTAACTATTTTTTCCAAGATGTGCTCACCTATTTTGACTTACAATACTCTAATTAGCCTACTTAGTAGCCTATACTGTAACTGTCTGTTGCCTCGTTAATGTAAATAATGAATCAAATGTAACAAACATTACAGGCAGGCAGATCGACCGATTGAAAAGCACATGAATAGCCTTAAATCTCTTCTGCTTCACAGGTTCAGCTTCATTTCTTTAAAAATCCATAACGCAAATGTGCTGCGATGGTTTCCTGCTGTCTCAGGCAGGAGTGTGTGTGAACAGATCAGTTTCATCTTTTGTCAATACAGAATGGGGGCGGAGGAAACATCCTATAAAAAGAAGGGTTCCCACATCATGAAACGCCAGGCTTCTTCACAAACACTCACACGAGCAGGAATCCTCTATTTGGCCGCAACTTGCTTTGATTTTTTTATTTATTTTTGGGTACAGCACCCTGACGCTTTAAATTTCTCCACATCTTTGTGCTTTTCTAATACCTTTGCGATGTGTAGGTTACGTTATGATTTTTCCATTGATATTTGACAGCCTATTTGATGGGCTCTGTAAGGGGTTTGTACTTTTTTAAGCCAAAGTGTGGTGGTCAAAGCACCTAGTGGTGTAGGAAATATCTTCAAGAAACCAGCACATTCTCATTCAGAGTAAAAAAAAAACGGAAAGGATGCTGAACGTTTCGCGGAGTCGGAGTTTTTGGATGTTGATGCTGATCGTCGCGGTAGTGCGGATGGGAGAAACTCAGGGGACTGAGAGCGAAGCCCAGGTGAACTCCATCAAATCACTGGAGCCACAGACCGCCGCCACCAACCGCTCCAGCGGCGCCCCGAGGAAAGGCAACATCCCAGCTCAGGTAAACCCCACAGCTCTAGCCATTATTAAGTTAGTCTAAGCTAAAACCCTTCAGGCAGTATGACTTAGTTAATGCCTAAAGAAATAACGCTCCCATATTAGTATGCGAATTACTCGCTGACCTTTTTAAGGAATTTCTATCAGTTGCTGTCTGAGGGACAAACCGTTTTATCCCGCTCAAGCCAAATTCCCTAAAATCGCAAGATTGGCTTAATTACATCAAATGTGTTTTAAACAAGTTTTTTAAAACAAGTTCTTGTGACATAAAAACAATTTACACTAAAGTGATAAACCTGACAAAGTAGCCTATGTTTTGTTGATGATAACTTGATAGCGGATCGAGAGCGGCGAACTGTTGCTATGGTTACCTCCTCAGCGACGTCTATTTAACGATGTCTGACTGACTTCTGAAATCTTGTTTTGTGTTAATTTTGTTGTATATATTACACCGTAGAACAACCTTTCTGACGTTTTATTTTGCATGTTTGCTTCCTTTAGTGTTTGAGAGCCACGTTTTACTTTATATCAAGCAAATGGCATGTCGCATGTGGTTGAAAGCCTCAGATATGTTATTTAAAAAAATAATTAAGGTACAGTTGCCTATTACTTGCATGTTATAGTACAAGTACACTTGTAGCTCAGTTGAATGGCAAGTGTCCTTTTGAAAGCGTTTCTCATATGGTAATCCTGAATTCATGCCAAGCTCAAGATTTATTTAAGACTCGTTTTAGCATGTGTAATAAAAAAAATTTCTCTTTGCTGTTTCGTCCTGGTTATGTCTCTCAGATCAGCTGTAAATATGCAGATGTTGTTGTAATTGGGAGCAGACGCAATTTGTCGAAAGCTTCAATGCAAAAAAAGAGGTGGTGATGGGATTTTTCTCCCTCTCACTTCCTCTTTGGAGTGGGAAGATCTCCAGTATGCAAGTTCCCTGCCAGACCCTCATCTAAACAATTGCTCTCAACTTTAGCATCTCCATAAACGCAGGTGGTCTGGATGATCAGACCACTGCCATACATGTGGAAACCACTACAATCCAATATTAGTTAAATGTCATGCTACATTTAGCTGCTTATCCAAATGTAGATTGCTAACAACTTTGTAGATTACTAACAGAGCGACTGTTTTCTCATTTGGAAGTTTCCAGTTGCAGATGTTGCAGATATTGTGGTCAGATCCCAACTTTCTATACCTGGGGCGGCTCTGTAAATCTGAAAGAATTGCTTAGGAGATTTAATTATATTAATTAAAGATAACTCAGGAAATGTTATACCTTGCTGGAAAAAAACTGCTTAAACTTGTTCTGCTAGTCTTAGGCAATTTAAGGTGCCTGACCAACTAACAAGTGCCCAAAACGCGTCTAAAACCAACCAAACCAGCTTGACCAGGCTGGGGAGACCAGCAAAGACTTTGGCTGTACAAAACCAGTTTAGACTGGTTTAGTGGTTTGTTTTCTGAAGGGTAGTGTATTTTTACATTAGGATTATGTCATGTGTGGTGTGCAGGAATTTATATAGATGGAACCATCAAAAAACATGGTTACATCTATTATATTGTTCATAGCTTTTCTGTGCCAATGGTCACACCCTAGATCACCACAGATTGCACATCATTTGCAGGTTTAACAGTTTACATTGATAGTGTATTAAATTTAATACCAGATTTGAAAGAACAGGTCATGTGGATGCAGTGCTGTGGTGGCAAATTTCTTGATTGCAGCTGTAGCTTTGAGATATTTCTTTAGTTCTAGTCAGGGACGTGGGAAGTAGGGGCGCTGAGGGGGCTGCAGCACCCCCTGTTTTCACATGGTTGCAAATGCAATGCCAAGTTTGTTCATTTAAATTTATTCAGTTTTAGCATTTAATAATTTATTTGTAATGATCTCTGAAATGTAAATTGTAAGTGGGCTATAATAAACCCATGTTTATCTTTATAAACATGATTTATTTTACTTATGATGTTTTCTATATGGGACACGTAAGTGAACCAGCCCCCCCCAACATGGACACACACAGCACCCCCAACCGAAAACATCTTCCCGCTCCCCTGGTTCTAGTTCCCTCTTATATTGGTTACATTTGAAATGCAAATAGCCATCCTGGTTTTGTATAGCGTATACATGATTTCATGATGAGCAGCCATGAACATTGATTGTTAGTGGCCATTTTTGTTGATTTTTCTTTGAAATATTAGCATATGATGCACCAAAGAAGATGCATGCTAAATTCAAGTTCCTCAATCAATTGGTGGTGGAGGTTTTTTTTCTTTCTTTCTTTCTTTTTTCAGTTGTAATGCCCCCTATGGGCATAATTGGACAAAATTGGGCATGCGTCCTCACAGCGTGCTGTTGTAAAAGTTTCATTAACTTGGGACTTTGGGTAGGCCACATCCAAACATTTTTGTGATTTTTTATTTTTTTTGCAAAATGCTCTAATTAAAATTATTTTGGCAGCTGTTCATTTCAAGAAGCTACATAACATTCATGTAAATTGTACTAAAAGAGTAAAAAAAAAATAAAAATAATCCAGAAAATTTACAGATAGAAATGTGACCAG